ACCTATCCATACTAATGCCATTTATCTTATCTTCCTTTTGTCTTTTATTTATTGAAGTGACACAATAAATCTCCATATGCTGAGAGCAACTAAACCAAAAGTCTCAGTTTAGTTGGGGTCAGTTTAATCGAAGGATTACAACTAAACAGTGTGGTCCAAATATTGGGCTGCTCCCAGGTTAGGCAGCCCCCTGAGGGACTTGCAAAACCTGCCTCAGGGAACAAGGAATTTGTGAAGTCTTTCCTTGTAAGTAGCCACGGACTTCAGTTTAGTCTGCAAAACCATCTAGCTGCCCTATCTCTGTCTCTCTAGCGACTACATTCTTCTGATAAAGTCCCTCTTACTGCATGCATCAATAACACCGGATGTTTTTCTTTTCCCTGCCCCCAGCACCTCCTTTGATATGTGTATATAATAAACATGCTGAACGTAGGTCAGAGCTGCAGTATCACCATGAAAGTGCTGCGTCCCACCTGGTTACAACTTTACTTATTTCAATTGTCTTGTGTGTTTCTTTTATTTCTAATCGCCCATCGCCCCTACTCGGGTTTAATCTCTTCATGTGGGTCTCGGAGTATAGCCACTTGTTGGACGTGACATCCATAGACCTAAAATAATTTATACTCTAAAATACATAATTTTGTGTTTGTCCACAGGTTATTAACCAAGAATTTAAAAGCAAATATGTATTGTCTTTTAAATATCTAAAAGAAATAAAAATAGAGAAATATGTAATAAAATAGATCATCACCTAGAAATAATACAGTTGTTGCTTTGTTGTTGTTGTTGCTAGGTTGTATTGAATCTGTACTGATTCAGGGTGACCCTATGTACAATAATTGCTCATTGGGACCCAGTTTGTTCCATGGTTTTGGGTTATTCTTTCTGTCTCAACTGACATCTGGATTAAACAATACCAGACGCATGCCAGCTCCAATAAATACAAGAGAGGGATCAAGCTCAGGTGTTTCTTGGCCTGACTGAGGAACTGGCGAAGCATGTTTGTGGAAGAGGCCTCGAGTCCAGAAGAAGAAACAAAGCTGGCAGGCCCAGAACTTAGGACTCTCTCAAAAGTAGGTAAGTTTTTAACAGGGGACCTAAACCTCTTATATTATAACCATTATATTAATGTTGTACAAGCCTTCAGATTCAAGCTACTTCATTTGAGAAGTTTAAACTATTCGTTTTAATCTTGAAGAGTTTTTACTAAAATATTTTCTTCTCTCAGAAATAGTAAGTCAACAAAGTGCTGCAAATTTTTCCTTCATAAAAACAGTTGCTGGTATCCAAAACGACCTCGTCAATGGATTTACTCTTACCATGCGTTAATTTGGATTTCAAAACTAAACCACCTTCTACAGAAATCAATGATTGCTAGCATATTTTTATTTTCCCTTAGCAATTCAAAGCATTTTGATCACACACTATAACATCAAAGGCGTCATTAATTTAAACACTCATTTATACACTTTGTTGTTGTTGTTAAATGCTGTTGAGTCATTGAGTTCGTTCGGACGCATAGCAACGCTGCATAGGGTTAACTAACTAACAAACAAACAAACAAACAAGAAAAATGGAACTTTTCACACATTTAAGCTCCACAGAGAGGAAAAAGGTCGGTACAAAGGTCATTTCAGAAATTAGTTATCCAATATCTGCTAAAACCAATTTTGAACTGTTGTCACTTTCTAATTCCTTTATTTTGTCACGCTTATTACTTTCTTTCGGAGTCCTAGTGTGGCGCTGTGAGCTAATGCCTCAGACTGCAAAATCGTTTGAACTGCAAGTTCGGTGGTTCAAGCTCACCAGCTGCTCCTTTGAAACCCTATACAGGGTCGCTATGGGTCGGAATCGTCTCCACGGCCCTTAACAACAATAACAAATTACTTTCCTTGTTCTCTTGATAGGAACGAAGCTGCTGCATGAAACCAGCATTTGGACATATGGAAGGCCTGGCATTTTTCACCAAAGAAAAAGCACTAGTAAAAGAGATTTCTTCAGAATTCATCAGGAAGCCAATTACAATTGCAGCAGCTCTGGAAACTCCTGCATTACAATGAACAAGAACCACTCCATCCTGCAATAGAAATCAAATAACAATATTCATTATTCATTTGAGAAAGGTTATGAAGTCAATTAAGCATACTCATATTGCTGAAATTTTTAAAAAATCAACCAATCTCATCTTAGATTATCAAAATACAATTCATTGCAGTGTAAGAATTAATCAACCCCACCTTCGGCCACTCACCTTCCTCCAACTCCTCCCCAGGATTGCCTTCCTGATATGTTTGGAATTCTAAAATAGTAACTTTTATTAAACTAGAATAATGTAATAAAGCATACATAAACACCTGGTAACTTGGCAGCCACATTTACATAAATAAGAGTAAAAAATCATAGGGAATATATTGTTCTTCTGGTTAGGTGCTGTCAAGTTGGTTCTGACTCATAGGCACCCAATGCACAACAGAACAAACACTGCCCAGCCCAGTACCATCCTCTCAACATTGACGTTGCCACTGTGCCAATCCATCTCATAGGAGGTCTTTCTGCTTTTCACTGACCCTTCATTTTAGCAAGCATAATGTCTTTCTCCAGAGACTGGTCCCTCCTGATAACATATCCAAAGGATGAAAACATAGCCAAAGGATTTCTCCCCATTCTGGCTTCTAAGGAGCATTCTGGCTGCACTTCCAACACAGATTTGTTTGCTTTTCTGGAAGTCTACTTTTAATATTCTTCTCCAACACAATAACTCAAATGTATCAATTCTTATACAGTCTTCCTTAGGCATTGTCCAATTTTCACATGCTTGTGAGGCTACTGAAAATATCATGGCATGGGTAGGCACACCTTAGTCCTCAAAGTGCTTTCTTTGTTCGTAAATACTATAAAGAAGTCTTGTATATATGGGAATGTAAATAAAACCATAATCACAAACTAAACAGAAAGCCTGTAGACAGTCAGATACATAATGTTCCTATAAAAAAATAAAAACACTAGTGTTACTAGCTTGGTAATCTATGTGCAAAACAATCAGCTAGGAGAAAAATGTACCCTGGGCTATATTTTATTTTGAAGAGACATGACTTTAATAGTAACAATGTGAAGTGGAAAGTGTAAACAGATACCAGGATGAAGTCAATAACTGAAAAAATGTTTCAGGTAACTTGCAAAGGATACTTTACAAGTGAAAAGGGACACAGCGCAAGATCAATGCTGATGGGGGCAATACTGCATTAATAATGAATGTGATAGACCTGATGGAACAGTGTTGATACACCTTGGCCTAATTCAAGCTTTTCAAAGTGAATGATCTAAACGAAATGAAGTGAACTATGAGAACACTGCCTACAGTCTTCAGACATTTTAGAGAGGTGGGAAAGGGAAAAAGGTACTATTGGAAATTCTCTCCCCACTGCATAAATTAACAAAACTGCAAAGCAGTTTTCTTAGACTCATAAATCTATTGCAAAATCTCTTTCCTAGATAGGTCATTAAAAGCTTGCCAATTTACCTCTTTTAAAGAAAACTAAATAATGATAAAATTAGTATTTTGGAAATCCTCAAATCAAAACAAAGTTTAAAATTTTATTTTCCTATAGATAGTATTACTAATTTCCAAATTTTAATTATTTCTGTAAAATAAAACAAAGCACAATTATTCACTGTATACTTGTTATTTTGTATACCTGTTATTTTTCTTACTATGTAGCAACAGCTTATTTTTGTAGTTTATTTTATGAGAATAAATTATTTTATAAGGCATCCATTTTATGAGAATTTTGTTCTGCATTTCTGAGAGGAAAGCATCTGACAAATGTCACACTGCCATTTTGCTATGGGTGTTGTTGGTGTTAGGTGCCACTGAGTCGGTACTGACTCATAGCGACCATAGAAGAATGAAACACTTCCCCCGATCCTGGGCCAACCTCACTATCATTGCCACGCTTGAGCCCACTGATGCTGCCACTTTGCCAATCCATCTTGCTGGGGGGCTTCCTCTTTTTCTCTGACCCTCCACCTTACTCATGGATGCTGCTGTTGTTGTTGTTATATGCCGTAGAGTCAGTTCTGACTCATAGCGAGTCTGTACAGGGATTCTGAGGCTGTAAATCTTTATGGAAGCAGAAAGCCTCATCTTTCGCTAACGGAACAGCTGGTACTTTCGAACTGCCGACCTTGAGGTTAGCAGCCTGATTCATAACCACTACATTACCAGAGCTCCTTTACCTATGGATAGACAGTGCAATGTTATGCTATTTTCACTTGATAGAGTGCTTGGTTCTCAAGCTATTAATAACAGCTTTCAAACTTCTGAGGGCAGCAATGTACATCTCTCACATTTTCTCAGAATAACTAATTAATATTTGTTGACAGATTAATTGAGCTAAATTCAGGTCTTGTTCCTTGCACCTAATATCTCAATTAAAAACTGGAAACAATATGGTCTGAAAGCTGAAGAACTAATGGTAGAATGAAAACAGTCTCTGAGGAACTTATGGTAGAATGAAAGTCAACAATGTTACTAAACATATGACGGGGCTTCAAAAAGTTTGTGCAAAACTCCCATCATCTTTTAAGTCTTCAGTACCTGTTCTTTGAGTTTTATCAAGGGAAAAATTAGTAAAGTAACTAAGATATCTAATTCTGTAAGCTATGCTCACAGATAATAAAATATTCCTGTGAACATTTTAAAGTCTATTTTACTTATACATACATACAGTTTTGCATTGTTGCTTAATGTCTATTTGGGCAGGGTTGTATCATCTGCTTATCGCAGATTGTTAATGAGCCTTCCTCCAATCCTGATGCCACGTTTTTATTCCTATAGCCCAGCTTCTTGGATTATTTGCTCAGCACACAGGTTGAATAAGCATGGTGAAAGAATACAACCCTGTCGTACACCTTTCTTAATTTTAAACCATTCAGTGTTCCCATGTTCTGTCCTAAAATTCCATTATTAAAATTGCATAGACCACTGAGCTTCTGTTAAAAGTGATGAAAAATAGTCTAGAATGGGTAATGGGAATGACTAAACAACTTGATGAAGAAAATTTATGTGAAAAGTGAAATGCGAGACCTTATCCAGAGAAGCAGTGACACTAGAGATGGAGGAAGAGACGAGGACATGGAGAGAGGGAGCAGCTGAGGACTCTAGATTCATGGGAAGAGAGGGACTTAAGAGATGGCGGCCAGGAGGGAAACTTGCAGAATGTGCCTTCTGGTGGTATAAATTATTATATATGCCCGAGTACTTAAAAAAAAAAAGCTAAAGTAAATAGAGAGAAATACTGTTAATGATGGTACATGAAGGGGATTATAATCAATATGATGAAACAAGTTGTATGATTTGTTGAACGTAAAACTGATGATCTGCCCTGTAACCTTTCACTCAATCCACAATAAAAACCTTAAAAATATATATTAATATGAAGACTGTATTAATGGTAAATGGTTTGCTACCAAAATTTAAAAATAAAACAAACAAACAAAATACTGGCCTGTAGGAAAGAAACAGATTCATTTCGTTAAAAATATTTATCTCAGAGTCAAAAAAGAAAGGAAAAAACCTATATTGAGCTACAACCTCTACCCCAGTCACTAAAATGAATGCTTACATACTAATAGGACAAGAGAAGTCTCTGAGAACAAATGCACCTGACCCAAACCACAGTATTTTCAATTGCCTCATATGCATGGGAAAGCTATACAATGCATACAGGAGACTAAAGAATCCATGCATTTGGATTAAGGTGTTGGTGAAGAATGCCTTGGCTCTAAGAAGTACAGTCAGAATGCTCCTTAGAACCAAGGATGAGGAGGTTTCGTCTCATGTACTTTGGAGATGTCATCAAGAGGGACCAGTCTCTGGAAAAGGACACCATGCATGATACAGCAAAGGGTCAGCAAAAAAAGATGAATACCGTCCACAAGATGGATTGACACAGAGACTGCAACACTGGGCTCAACACAGAACAATTGTGAGGCGGGCCCAGGCCCCCTTTCCTTCTATTATATTTAAAATCTCTTTGAGTGGAACCAACCTTTTAACAACAATTCTACAGACCACCTGATTATCTTGCAAATTGGTCAGAATTCAGGTGGTTGTAAACTGTGAAGGAAAATCTAACTTTACATACAGGAAAATTCAATAACTGAAATTTTTTTCTCCAAACAATTCTCAGTGAGGCCTAGTAAAATGAGCAATTGGACTATTAAAAAAAAAAAAAAAAAGTCTCATTAGGAAAAAAGCAACAGGACAACTAAGTAGTTTTAAGGGGGAATAAAATATTGTTGGAGGGGACATTTTAAAATCTTTCTTTCAAGCTTCATTACGACAGACTAAAGACTGAGTAATGGACCCATACATTCAAATATCTGCTTTTGACAAACTGTGGATTGAAACAAAACTTACCTTCGTTTTTGTGTGCTCAATAAATTCAAAACACTCTGGAAAATAAGATAGGAGATTTGTTTCTGGCAGATCCAATATAGGAATGCTCTTGTATGTAAAATCACTGAGGAAAGTGTTCTCAACTCCACATGCAACATTGAGAATATGAGTCACCTTAGAGAGAGTGGGCGAGAAAGAAAGAAAAAAAAAAAAAAGATGGTTTTCAAAAATCCTCATGAGTTAGATTATCTGAAGAAACTGGAATGTTGAGATCTGTATCAAGGATATGAAATTTAAGAATGATCCATTTGAATGCTATTTCCTTCAGGAAGCCTCTGACTACCTCACACCTTACCAGACTAAGTGCTCCTTTTATGTGCACACACAGCACCCTGTACTTGCTCTACAGACCTTAACACTTAGAGATGATCTCTGTCACTGCACAAGAAAAACTAAGGACAAGTAAAGGCTGTGTTTAGCTTAGTCACAATTAAAGAGAACACAGAAAATGCTTAAAGTATTTGTTGAGAAAATCAGTGAATGTCCACAGAAAAATCAAATTAACTGAAGTACATCCATGGCACAAAACTTCCCTTTCTATAATTGGTTTTGCATTCTTAACAGTCTTTACTAGAACAATGCTTATGAGCTATATATAAATATCAGTGACAAGGCATCATGATCATAGACTGGTGAATTAGTCCTGGAGAGATGTCATGAAGGACCTATCAGATGATCCTCAGCTCAGGCCACATACACATCGTCCTACACTATCTGTGCATTTCAGTCCTTTTCTTAGACTCCGCCAAGCCTGCGGAATGAGCCATGTGGAAAGCCCTCATAGAGAGTCCAAAGGCTAACTGGATGAGAAAAATGAGTCACTGCTTCTTCTCAGGATAAAGTCCCTTACTGCATTTATTCTCATTTTCTAGTGGGTTCTTATGTTTTGCCTCACCTCAGTATTTTTTTTTTTTTTTTGTATTTTCATGTGTATTTTAGAGGATTTGTTCAACTTTTCCACTCTGCCCCTGTTTTTTTTTTTTTTTTTTGTATTTTCATGTGTATTTTAGAGGATTTGTTCAACTTTTCCACTCTGCCCCTACCACCCACAGAGGTTCCCCACTTCTTTTCCCAGTATAACTGGCTAGATCATCAAATTACCTGAGGTTTCTAAAAACAGATCTAAAAGACAGCCCAAATGATCAACAATCTTGGGAGCTATAAGGAAGCCATGTTTTGTTATGTGCTCAGAAAAAAATTCCTGTTGCCAAATGAGAAAAATGAAGTAGATATGCAGAGAAGATCAAAGGCATCAGTGGGAGAGAGCAGCTGTCTCAGATGGCCTTCCAATCTCTGGTTCCGGTCCCTGGTGAGGCTGGGCCATTCTCCCTGCCCTTGCGCTCCAGGGATCCCCCTGTACAGTATATCCTTTTTCCTTGCCCAGGTAGCTCAAATTATTTTCTGTGGCTCAGGACCAGGAATATTTACTAAGATACGAAGACAGACTTCAGCCAATTATGAGACTAACTACCTTGTGGTAAAGAAGATAACAGAAAAAAACCTCAAATGTCTACTCAGGAAAGACTTTTAAAGATATAGAAGGAGAATAGTAAAAAGAAGGGAAGAACATCTCTAGAAGATAAAGTCTGAACTGTACTTTCACTTTCTACAATGAAGTCTGACAATGTCAAGTCACTCTCACCTTAGTGCATTTCTGGGCAAGATTATATGATTCTGCCTTTCATTACATTGTTGTTGTTAAGTGTCAAGTCGATTCCGACCCATCGTGACCCTGTATAGGGTTTCCAAGGAGCAGCTGGTAGGCTTGAACCACCGCCCTGTGGTTCAAACAACTTTGCAGTCTGATGCATTAGCCCACAGTGCCAAATACATCTCATTGGGAAGTCTTGCTCCCACTAAGTCCCTATTCACTCCATTATCCCCTACCCTGGAGTTCGAAGGTCACCAGCCACTCCATAGAAGAAAGATTAGGTTTTCCACTCCCATAAAGATTTGCAAAGGAGTCCTTGTGTGGGGCTGTGGGTTAATGCGCCAGACTGCAAAGCCATTTGAACTGCAAGGTCGGCGGTTCAAGCTCACCAGGTGCTCCTCAGAACCCTATAAAGAGTCGTTGTGGGATAGAATCAACTCAATGGCATTTAACAACAACAACAAAAGATTTGCAGCCTGGGAAACCCTATAAAGTTGCTATGAGTCAGCATTGACTTGACAGTACACAGTAGCAGTAGCAACAGCAAAGGAGTAATGGTGGCTTGGTGGTTTCAATGTTGGGCTGCTGCTAACTGCAAAGTCAGTGGTTCATACTCACCACTTACTCAGCAGGAGAAAGATGAGACCATCTGCTCCCATAAAGGTTTATAGTCTTGGAAACCATAAGAAGTTCTTATCTGTGCTATTGGATCACTATGAGTGGGAATCAACTTGATGGCCGTACACACTTTCATTGGCTTCTGTATCACTTTAAAAAATATCTTTATGAAAGTATTTTATTTATTCCCTTTCCCTCGTGGGGACTCCTCGCCCCCAGTCACTTAAATATGTCTTATAGATCTTTTCATATCAGTATGTAAAGAGCCTTTTCATACGTTCTTTTTTACAGCTAAATTGTGTTCTGTGGCGTGGGTGTGTTATTGTTTATTTAACAAGGCCCCTATTGAACACGGGGCTTGTTTTCAATCATTTGCTATTATAAATGATGCTGGAATAAATAACGTGGAACATTTTATGTTACACTTACATTCCTTTCCTCTACTGTCCCTCTAGTAGCATACACTTGGCATTCAAAAATCACTTTATTAATAAAGCAATCATTCTAATTGTATATAAATGTTAAAATGAAATTTCTACAGAGATTTCTAAAAATGACCTTTCACAACATAGAAATCCCACTATAATTCTATATAGTCCTTTCCTTTAATTCTAGAATATTATTTTGCTTTATGACTTGCATATAAATCAATAATTGCATTTTGTAGCACCTCTAAATTATCTATTCATCTGCTCAGTTGAGCCTTATTTCCCCCAAGGTTCTAACAGGGTCATTGTATTCAGAGACACCAGAATTTTTCTCCCCTAACTTTTTATTGTGATTTGGGTAAAAGTTTTACAGAACAAATTGGTTATTCCATTCATACACATTGTTTTGTGACAATGATTGGAATCCTGACCAGCATTTCAGCACTCTTCCCACTTCCTCCCTGTGTTTACTGTTTACATTTGTCCTTCTTTCCTATCCCGTCTTGCTTTCTGAGCTTTATTCCTTGTATGCTCTTTTGATCTTGAATGGCTGATTGTTCTAAGGAGTGCATGCTTTCCTGATGTTATTGTTCAATATTAAATTCACTTAAAGAGTGTCTAAGGATCATAGTGGAGTCCTAGTGTGGGGCTGTGGATTAATGTGCAGACTGCAAAGCCGTTTGAACTGCAAGATTGGCAGTTCAAGCTCACCAGTCGCTCCTCGGAAACCGTATATAGGGCCGCTATGGGTCAGAACCGACTCAATGGCACTTAACAACAACAACAACAAAGATCATAGTAATGAGGATTTGTAGTAAGTGAATTACTTATTATGTTTTTTCTAACAATGATCTTTGTAACTCTCACACTGGCTGGGGTCACTGGTGGGGAGGGAGAATTGGTTAGTTTTGCCATCTCTCTAGGTTTAAAAGGAGCCTCTCAGAAGTAGGCACAGAGGATCCCAGGGCCATCAAGAAAGAAGAGCCACGAACAGAGCACAAGATCCCTGCCTGGAAAAGCAGCGGCAGCAGAGGTGGCCGGAGAGACTGCTGCACAGAGACACAGTGCAACAGGCTTCCAAGTCCACTGAGTAACTATGAGAGCTTTCTGGCAGGAGAGTAGCTTGAACAATAGGCCTTTTGGGCCTTGATCTGCAGGGCACTAAAGAGCTGGTAACACTTGTAATACTTTCATTAAGCAGAAGCCAAAGGGACACATGAATGAGAGACTGGGAATGAGAGAGAGGCTTTCCAGCAGTATGGCTGAGAACAGTCATTCCTGACCTGAGAACTGCTGTATGCTGAATTGTTAATCACATAATCATGAGTGTTGTCTATGAATTCTGTATGGCCTTTGCAACAGATTATTGAATCTAGCAGAGAAATACAGTACTATGGGAGGGATGACTGGTTATCAGAATAGGATTTTTAAAAGTTATAGAGTGCAGGCATGTCTGACCTCCACCTCGTAAGAACCAGTCTTGGCCTGATGATGGTTATTCTCCTCCCATATAGGAAGCTGGAGGAGGTTACATGTGGGCTGCACACCATTTTTGCATGAGGCTACCTATCGGTCTATATCAGACAAGTAAGCCTAGTCTTTTTTTATTTAGTTTAGTTCCACATTTTTTCTTACTCAATCCAGGACTTCCTATTGCAATCCTTTTTAGAGCTCAGATCAATGAGGAGTGATAGCCAGGTACCATCTAATTCTTCTCATCTCAGGGCCATGGAGGCTGGGGTTTGCAGAGTTCACTAGTCCTTTGGACTAACTGTTTCTATGTATCTTTGATCATCTTCACTCTTCACTCTTCTTTGCCTAGCATGGGGAGAGACCAATAGTTACACCTTAGATGGACACTCAGAAGGTTCTGGTTCACATCTCCAGGATAAAGCTATATGAACTAGCATTATAGGAGAGGATGTTGTTGTTGCTGTTATATGCCATGGAGTTGATTCCAACTCATAAAAACCTTGTACAGGGTTTCCGAGGCTGTAAATCTTTACAGGAGCAGAAAGCCTCATCTTTCTCCCACAGAATAGCTGGTAGTTTTGAACTGCTGACTTTGCAGTTTGCAGCCCGATTCGTAACCACTACGCTACCACAGCTCCTTATAAGAGAGGATTAGAAACAATAATCAATTGTCATGGATTGAATTGTGTCCCCTCAAAATATATTTCATCTTGGCTCAGTTTAATACACAGAGGTTTGGCAGTTATGTAACGATGTAATTTGGAAATTATGTAATTATGTAATCTTTCCCCACGATGTGATCTATCCATTGTAAGGGGATTAAGGTCGGGTGCAACATCCTTACTTATGTCACAGCCCTGATCTGATAGTAAGGGAGTTTCCCTGGGATATGGCCTGCATCGCCTTTTATCTATAAAAAAATGAAGAAAGGAACAAGCAGAGATAGAAGGACCTACTACCACCAAGAAAGAGAGGCAGGAGCGGGGCATATCCTTTGGACCTGGGGTTTCTGCATTGAGAGCCTCCTAGAACCAGAAGACAAAGAGGCAGAAAGCATTCCCCTAGAGCTGGCACCCTAAATTTGGACTTGTAGCCTCCTAAACTGTGAGAGAATCAATTTCTGTTTGCTAAAGCCATCCACTTGTGGGATTTCTGTTACTGCAGCAGAGATAACAAAGGAGCACTGTTGGCACAGTGGGTTACACGCTGGGCTGCTAACTACAAGGTCAGCAGTTTGAATCCACTATCTGCTCCAAGTGAGAAAGAGGAGATTTTCTGTTCCCATAAAGATTTATATCCTCAGAAATCCTACATAAGGTCACCATGAGTCAGAATTGACTCGTTGGCAGAGGGTAGATAACTAAGACACCAATGAACACATTTATCAGTCTCTCATTCCCTTGTTCCAATCTTTTAACAGTAATTCTTATATTCTTATGCAATTCAAGGATAACACAAATCCTTAGGCATCATCCCCCTTACTGTCATACAGTAATTATTATGCTAAACCAAAAATTGCCCAGTTTAAGCACACAGATATTTTGTTGACAGTCAAGCTAATTAACTAGTTGGTTATTAGTTATTATCAGTTGCAAAATTAACTGCAAGTATTTATCATATAAAATTTTTTAGTCTCAATTCAATTTTTTCTTTTTCTTCAGCACTGTGGGCAAAAAAGATAAACAGGATAAAGTTCCTAACTTCTAAAAGACTGTTAAATAAGTGTTGATAGTTAACATCAAGTTGATTCCACCTCATGGAAACCTCATGTGAGCTGAATAGAATGACTTCACAGAGTTTTAAAGACAGTGATCTTTCATAAGCAGATTGCTAGGCCTTATATCTGAGGTGCTTCTGGGTGGGTTTGAACTGTCAACCTTTTGCTTAGTAGTTAAACACTTAACTACTGGATGAAAAGAAAACATGTCCACTGATGGTAATAAGGTCTAAATTGGAAGGTGCTCAGACTATAGAAGAAAGTTATTTTCTAAAGGAGAACTAGAGTATTGAACTCATTTCCACAAGAACCTTCACACTTGCCTGTCATTCTCTCTGCCTGAAGTGCTCTTTTCCTCAATCTAAGCATGGCTGAGGAGCTCTAGTAGCATAGTGGTTAGGCCTCGGGCTGCTAACCTCAAGGCCAGCAGTTCAAAATTACCAGCTGATCCATGGGAGAAAGATGAAGCTTTCTGCTTCCGTAAAGATTTAATTTACAGCCTCAGAAACCCTATGCAGGGTCACTATAAGTAGGAACCAACTGCACAGCACAGCACAGCACACCACTACCACTACCATTACTACCAAGCATGGTTGACTTGGTCATAATAACAGTTAAAGTCTCAGCTGCAGAAAGACCTAGCCTGACTCACATTGCCTTCCTACCAGTCCCCTCACTCCCTTGTTTCAACTATTTTAGAAGATGTATTCTCTTCTGAAAGTGCCATACTTTAAAAGCAAGAACTTTATTGCACCTAAAACAGGCTTAGCACAAAAGGAAAAAGCAATTGTAGTCCAGGTGATTCATGTGTTACAGTTGAACTAGTCCTGATGATTTTCTTGGTGGTTCTCTTTATGAGACCAGGATGCCAGGCTTTTGTTTGTGCTGGGTAGCTTTGAGCTAACTTTTAAGTTAGTAGTCAACTGCTAACTGCTTGCACCTCCTGAGAAGGAGCTTAATATATTTCAGCACATAAACAATGTGTAAAATGTTATAAAACCACACTACTCCACTCTCACATAGAGCATTTACCTTATGTGTAGGAAACAGGGTTGTAAGCCAGTTGGCACTGAATCGATTTCAACTCACGGTGAGCCCAAGTATATCAGAATAGAACTGTGCTCCACAGAGTTATCAATGGCTGATTTTTGAAAGTAGATAAGCAGACCTTTCTTCAGAGGTGCCTCTGGGTGTACTTGAACCTTCAATTTTTTAGTTAGCAGCCAATCCCATTAACCATTTGTATTACCCTGCTCCTCCCACATAGTTTCTTTTATAGCCTGTATTACTCTTAGAGTTTCTTGTCAACTGATATTCCATCTTTTATCCTGTGTGTACCTTAGGCACCAGGTTCTCAGTTTGTTTATATACCCTCAAGTTCTACTATTATCATGAGTGGTGTTAATTTCCATTTGGATTTAACAGTTCCCTGACCACCTCACCTCCAATGATCTTTGTCATCACTCCATTTCAATCACCCTCCCTCAAGGTCATCACTCAGAACTGTTCTAGCTTTGGTACCATAAATTCAAGAATCCCATTTTTTCATTGACCATAACCTAATTTTTAATCTTTCTAATTTTTCACTTGAGCCCATTGCTGTTGCCACTGTATCAATCCATCTCAATGAGGGTCTTTCCCTTTTTCGCAGCCCTCCATTTACCAAGCATGATGTCCTTCTCAAGACACTGGTCCCTCCTGATAACATGTCCAAAGTATGAGAGACAAAGTCTCACCATTCTGGCTTCTAAGGAACATTCTGATGGCATTTCTTCCAGGACACATTTACTTGTTCTACTGGCAGTGGTGTGGTGCTACAGAATCAGCACTGGATGGAGAACAAGGTTAGGGGTTCAAATCCACCAGCTGCTCCTCAGAAACCCTATATAGGGTCGCTATGAATTGGAACCAACTTGACAGCACCTAACAACAACAACGGGCAGCCCCTGGTAGTTTTAATATTCTTCTCCAAAACCGTAATTCAAATACAGCGATACTTCCCTATTCATTGTCCAACCTTCACGTGCATATGAAGCAATGGTTGATCACAAACTTGTGAAAATTCTACCTTTTAGAAAACCCTCAAATCTATCCACTTCACTATCCCAATCTAAACCAGCATCCTAATCTAAGCCACCACCAGCTTTTATTTATATCACAACAGCTTCATAACTGGTTTCTCCATTCCTAATTGGAGCAACCCTCCAATCTGTTTTACATAATTTCTCTAAAGCACAAGTTTTCTAACATGCAAACTGGATTCTGTCAATGCCCCAGGTAAAACTTGTCTACGGCTCCCCACTGGTTTTTGGATCATGTCCAAATAAATTACTCTGGTTTACATGGCCTTTTGTGAACTGGTCTGTGTCTAAGTACTCTTGTTTCTCAAGCTCTCTAGTTCAGGGGCACTAAACTTCTCTTCTGCCTTTGCCTTGCCTCTGGGCTTTCATGTACAGCATTCATTCTGTCTAAATGCTTTTCTGTCTTTTTCTTCCCCACCAACTTCAGGGCTCAACTTTAACATTAACTTCCTTCAGAAAGACTTCCCCAACCTTCCTATATCCAAAACCAAAACATACATGTCTTAGGGCCATCACTGCCTATGGACTCTTGCGCACCCATCATAACACACAACACACTAGATGAGTCCTGGAGCTGCTTATCTGTGTCTTCTCTTTCCACCACCCTCCATCCATCCCTCCAGACTATCAGCTTCTTATGAACAGGTTCCTTTTGTACCTCTCAAACCATCACACTTTGAGGACCTGAAGAAGTGCTTGACAAAATGGTAGATGTCTAAAATTATTTTGAGCAAATATTGGAATAAAAATGAACCACCTCAGTTGTATGGAGAAGGGTGGAAGAAAATGGAAATCCGGAAGACAGGATGGTGTGTGAGTTGAGATTCAAAGCAAGCGTAGGACTTTGACAAACAGAGATGAGAACAGTATATCCCACAGAGGAACTAAGGAGTTTGGGTAGTGTAATGTTTACAAATCAGGCTGCTAATCTCAGGGTCAGCAGTTTGAAACTACCAGCTGTTCCGCAGGAGAAAGATGAGGCTTTCTGCTCCCATAAAGATTTACAGCCTCGGAAACCCTGTACAGGGTCGCTATGAGTTGGAACCGACTCCACTGCTCACAACTACAGAGAACTACAAAAGCCAAAGCAAGAAGATCTGCTTATGTACACGAAGGAAAGAGAAGAATGTAAAACTTGAAGGGCAGAGTACAAGTCCACATATTTGAAATTGTTGTTGTTGTTAAGTGCCGCTGAGTTGGTTCTGACTCACAGTGACCCTATATAGGATTTCCAAAGAGTGGATGATGGATTTGAACTGCTGACCCCGAGGTTAGCAGTCCAGGGCTTATCCTACAATGTCACACCATAATCCAACATTTTAAATAGGTTCGGTAATTTTTGCAACTATACTGAAAGATAAAATGCTACTAATTAAACTCTGAAATGTACCAAAGATGGATCAATACAGCTTATCTGAAATAAATATAACAACAAAACACTTTCTCTATGATATGCATTTTTTTACCTTGTGCTTTTTCAGTGTATCCAGATCATGAGCAGCATCTTGTGACCCTGTAAGAAATATATCATATCACTCTGAACATACAAAATAATCATCCTGAATTTCAAAATGATTTTTTCACAATAATTCTGCTATTCATTCATCTTTTAAAAAATACTTTTTCCACTACCCCTTCTAAACCTCCTTCCTTCAAAAAAGAAAAGAAAACAAACAAACAAACAAACAAAAAACCCACAAGGACCTTAGTCCAAATTTCTGATGGGTAATTTTAGATTATTCATTTAAAAACATTCTTCTTATATATACTTTTGGACTCTTGAAATCCCATTCTTAGGAATTTGTCCTAAAAGTCAAACATGTTGCAAAGATTTAGCTACTAGGATATTCATTATGGTACTATTTGTATCAGCAAAGCAACCAACCAAAGAAAAACCAACTTCTTATTGTTAATTTCCGTCAAGTCGATTCCGAACCATAGTGCCCCTGTATAGTGTTTCCGAGGAGCGGCTGATAAGCCTGAACCACTGACCTTGTAGTTCCAACTGACTCCGCAGCCCGACGCATTAGCCCACAGCACCACACCAGGACTCCGTATTGTTGTTCAAGCGACTCTGTATAGGGTTTCCGAGGAGTGACTGGTGAGCTTGAACAGCTGACCTTGCAGTTCAAATGCTTTGCACTCTGGTGCATTAATCCACAGTGCCACACCAGACTCCAGTAACAGGTGTAAGGTTAAATAAAACATGGTATCATAATGTAGTAAAACATGCACCGCTATTAGAAATGATGTAGAAAATATTTAATTGCACAGAAATAGGTTCTCAACACACCAGGTGACAAAAGCAGATTACAATACCAGTGATATAAAAATATAACAAAACAATATGTATGTGCTTAAAAATGAACATTAAGGATATAGGCCAAAATGTGAACAGTGAATTATCTCTGGGTAGCTACAGGTTAAGTTTTTTTTTCTTTTTGATAATTCATATTTTCTACAATAATCTTCTATATTTAAAATAACATTTAACAGTAAGTCCTGGTGTGGTACCATAGGACAAGCACTCAACCTCAAGGTCAGTTTGAACTGCAAGGTTGGCAGTTCAAGCTTACCAGTCGTTCCTTGGAAACCCTATGGGGTTGCTATGATTCAGAATGAACTCAACAGCACTTAACAGCGTAACAATAAAAGGTTATTAAAAACTCAAACATACACAAAATGTTCTAGTACCAACTGATTTAGGAACACCCAGGGGCTTTAAAGGAAAGACTGTTTTTCTATAGGATACCACCCACACTCCAGACTCTTTGTGTTAGAGTTGGCTTTCCAGATCTCCCACATTAGAAAACTGGTTCCAGTTAAGAAGCAAGGTCATAGAGGAGAACTGTTGAATCACACAATTGAAAACATAAGGCACTTATTAGTAAAGACTTCAAGTACTATGCATTCCTGAAATAAGTACCATTTCCAGCAACAGTAGTAGTTGTTTTTTAACCTTACCTAAAGGATATCATGTTTGGTAAGGTGGAGGCACCTAACAACAACATCTGGACAATCAGCTGGCTACTACTACATGATTTTAGGTAGTTGCTCACACAAAGCTCCCGAATCTATATACTCACAAAGAGGTAAAAAAGAACACTGTCCAATTGTCCACTTATTCCCTTGATAATAACAGGGTCACAGGCTCCTCACTGAGCCCAACTTTAAAGAAATCCAAAGCAGCTGAACTCAAGGAGACTCAATAGAACAGAGTAGAATTGCCCTATAGGTTTTCTAAAACTTTGATCTTTATGAAAGCAGACTGCCACATCTTTCTCTGAAGTGGCCATTGGATTCAAACTGCTAACTTGCAGTTAGCAGCCAAGCACTTAAACCACTACACCATCAAGGTTCCTTCCACCCAGCTTTGATTCTGACTCATAGCAACTTGTACAGGGTTTCTGAGGCTGTAAATCTTTATGGGATCAGACTGGTGGGTGTGCACTATCAACCTTGTGGTTAACACTCCAATGTTTAACCAACTAAGCCACTGGGTTAAACAAGTTTATGAAAATTTTGGTGGTTTAATACGGTACAATCAAATGCATAGGATATTTTAAATAATTACTCTGCTTGTTAAAATTGCAAAAAAGAAAACATGACCTAAATGAAATTCTCTTTATTACCCTTATTTTTGTGTTATTGGGTGCCATAAGGTCAATTCAATTCAACTCATAGTGACCCCATGCAACTAAATAGAACTTCTCCAAAGGATTTTCTTGGCTATAATCTTTACAGATGCAGATTGCCAGATCTTCCTTCCAGAGGGCATCTGGGTGGTTTCAAAATGTCAGTCTGTGGGAGGTACAAATAGCCCAAATACTAGATAAAAGATTGGACGATCAAACCCATCCAGAGGAACCTGAGATACGTTCCTCGAGATTGGCTTCTAAAAGATCCCAGCCTTAAAAACCCTATGGAGCAGTTTCTGTACACACAGGGTTGCCAGGAGTCGGACTCCATAGCAACTAAAACCACTTTTTTTAGCCTAGATTGTCATTAGTATAAATACTTATCAAGGTTGGATATTTTGACCATTACCACTAAGCACTCACACAAAGAATTACAACACATACGTCAAGCACAGAACAGGCAGATGATGTTTCAGAACTTTGAAAGTAACATCAAGAATATGACTATGTTGATAGAAATTGAAAAAATTATTATTGCTAATTGACATCAAGTTGGTTCCAACTCATTGTGACCTCATCTACGCAGAACAGAACAGCTCCACAGAATTGTCATGGCACTAATGTTTTAGAAGCAGATTACAAAACCTACCCTCCGTGATTCCTCTGGGTAGATTCAAGCCACCAATGGTTCAGCCAGCAGTGAAGTGCGTAATGTAAGCTGATTATCTGCAGTTCATTTAAACTGACTTAAGTTGTTCCCACATGCTATGCATGTCCCAAATGGATTACACAAGGATCACACAAGTTGTAATTTTTTTTTTTTTTTAAACTCAAGTATATACAAAGGGGCTTCAAAAAGTTCATTGAAAAATTCATTCTCTTTTAATTCCATTTTTCATGAACTGTTTGAATCCTTTTGTATATATGTGTATATA